ACCCTTTGCCTCTGTTTTAGACTTTGGTGAGTTGTACCAACCTTGATCATGTGTTTTGTTGAGTAAAGGAGGTGTCTTTGCATGTTTAATGAGTTAAACAAGTAACCAACAATGTTATGACCCTAAAACAGTATAAAGATGCTTGCTTTAACGTTTGAAAGTGATAAAAATGGAACCTTGGAAGGATATCTTCGCAAAATGCAGAAACTGCATTCTGTCGCGAAATATCCGGATATTGCCCGTGGGATATCCATATTGATATCCGGATATTGCCAGAGTGATATTCGGATATTGCCTGTGAGATATCCGGATATTGCATATCCGGATATGCCCCCGAAGAATATCTGGATATTCTGGGTTTGCGAGGAACAATAGCGTACTGTTCATCCAGAACTGATCTATGGGTTTGTGGACCCTAGTTTGAGGAAGTTGAACTTCTGTAATTAATTAATGTAAGTCATAATCATGTGATTAAGGGCTTATGGCTTGGTGAGAAGCCTTAAGACGTAAAACGTAATAAAAAGACGTTGTCTTTATGTTTTATACTTGTAGAGTATGATTGTTGATGTATTAATTGTCCATAACAGATTGTGAATCTGCTGTGTTTGGACTTTGAGCTGTGGACTCTTGGCTTTGGGTGTTAGCTTGCAAGGTAAGCTTTCGTGTCCTCGATTTAGCCATGTTGTGGTTCCACCATGTCCCATGGGGTATGGTTATATGCATGTTGTGTTACATGCTTTTGATATATGAAATGTTGTTGAGCTTTATGTGTTAATGGCTTTTAATATGCATGTGTTGTTCCATCTTGACAGTAAGCCAAAGTATGTAGCGTCATACGAGACGGTGATCTGGGGTGAATGCAAGTAATATCTTGCACTAATTGTGGGTAATAGACGTATACTTATTCCTGCATTTCTCTGGCCAGTAGAATAGAATTGACACAATGACATGATTATCTGCTACATTGCACTATTTTAGAAATGATATTGATGAACTGCTTTTAAACTTATATGGCACATGTAAGTGAGCTTGGGGTGGAAGATCCTTTAGGACCCCTTGTCTTACTGAGATTTATTGTTTAGAGATCTCACCCCACGTTTGGGGAATGCTTATTTCAGGTTCAGGTAGTGTGGTGACTGATGCCTCTGCGGCAGGAGGCCAGAGCTTAGCTGATTATGATTTTGCTAGTATGACTGGACTAGATGTTGTTTATGTTTTCCGCTCTTTATGTTTTGAGTTGAGACTTATGTTGGGCTTTGTTGCCTTATTTGGGTGAGCATGGGTGTTGTCCATGCCACTATGCTGTTAGTACTTTTGACTTGAGTTGTATAAACTGTCAGTTGGTCCGGTCTACGAGTTGTAGTTCCGTGACTAGAGCCATACATTATGTTATTTTAATTAATGAGGTATTTCAGTTAGCTGTTTTATTGTAATTGCATACAGGCGATGTTTTATTAATTGATTAATAAGCAAGTTAGTAATGTTAATGACTTCATAATTGAAAAGAAAAAGATATTCTGCATTTTTAATTAAGCGGAGCTTAATACGATAGTATAGTAACATTACCGGATATATACAGGGTATTACAATGCCTCTGAAGCTAAGTATTCATAATCATGCTGGCTATGCTTGATGCCTTTGATGCTAAAATTTATTTTTGTGAAAAAAAGAAAACGAAGAAAAAGTGAGAGCAAAAATGAAGAACCATAGTAGCAGGGAAAGAAGGAACCATAGTAGTAGGGAAAGAAGGAACAAAGCAGGGATAGACGATAATATGCTGGCCATGCTTGATGCCTCTGAAGCTAAGTATTCATAATCATTGTCTCGCACAGGTGCTGCTACAACTCTAACAGACATAAATTCAAATAATTAAAATCTCAACAAAAATGATTTTGAAATCGAGGAAGCTAAACAAATTGAGCGCATCTACTGTGGACCGGGGGTAGGATAGACCGTTCCAAAAATGGAAAATAAAAGGGGATAGAGGAGGAAATATAAGAAAAGATAGGGGTATAAGAGTACTTTTTTTTACCCAAAAAAGAAAAGGACCACAAATTTTTTTTATACTCCTGGAGTATATTAAAAAAATCCAAACAAATCAAGGCTTTTTTTTTTCCGCCAAAATTTGGCAAATACCCTTGTGATTGTGGTAACATTGATATAAATTCGAGCTACGTTTGTGAGAGATAAAACATGTCAAATGAGGTGCCATTGCATAGATCTCGAAAATTTATGTGAAATAAAAAAAATCTTTTGATTTGAATTCCCAAGTTAAAAGCTATGGTCTTTCGAAGTTTTACGTAATGAGACTGTCTAGGGTGACAGGATTGTGCCACTTGACACAATTGTGTGAGTGTCCCAGGGGGGTCGCGACACTCACCTAAAAAATAGTTATGTGAGATCCCCAAGGGGGTTGCTGCACTCAGTTCACTGAGACTCCCTTTCGGGACTAAACGACCCTCATTGATAAACTTAGGACAATGATCTTTATACATTACACCACCTTCATCTTCGTACATCCTCTCATAACAATAGGTCAATTATTACCGTAAAGCACATGCTTTTTTATACAGATACAACTTAATAGAGATTTTCATATATACTACACCCTTTTCTTCTTCGCACATCGTTACAACAGTGTTGAGATATATAGTCCCACATTGGTTGTATGTGCAACTAATGTGGAGTTTATAAGATCTTGGGCACTTCCACCCTTTGAGCTAACTTTTAGTGTGGTGTATCCCAAGGTTTTTTACATGGTATCAGAGCTGGTGTATCCCAATAAGGATATTTTACGTAAATATAAAAGGGTAAAGTGTGTGTCATTTTAAAGGATGTAAAATTGTCTTATTTTAAGAGAGAAAAAGAGATAGATAAAGGAGGAGAGAGAGTTGACATAGTGAAAAGATGTAAATTGTGCAATTTAAAAAGATAAGCACTTGTGTTTGAACCTCCTCAGTACCACCTTTGGGAGGGGTTTAAAGCCTTAATCTGGACCCGTCCCGAATCGGACTAATCGCGAAGCGATGAAGATATTTCATAAAAAAAAAAAAAGAGATAAGCACTTTTCCCAATATAAAAACCAACGAATAAAAAAAATAATCTTTCGCTCTATTTCCACCTAAGCTGTAAATGTCTTCTGAACGTTCTGGAGTTTTGGATAAGAGTTTAGAAATAAAAGGTCAAAGAAATGACTTATTTAAGAAAGAATGAAAAAATTGACCCGTGTGAACCAAAAAAAAAAGTCTTTACACGGTAAAAATCGCATGAAAAGCACCAAAATGCATGACATTCTAAATATAATGTAAAAGGTTTAAGCATTATTTATATGATAACGCCGCATAATTGGAACTTTTTAAGTTAAAAAGAAACCTTAAATATCAAGTGAGATACGCAGGCGGCCACCATTTTAACAATATTATGTAGATTATGCCTCGTCCTATTTATATCTAACCTGAAAAAAAAATTAAAACAAAGAAAACGTCATTATGATAAATAATTTAAAAAAAAATACTAGTAAATAGCTGTACACAGAAACATATTATTCTTCAAAATGCCTCGGGCTTGGTCTCTGACATAATCAGCGTTTTTAAATAAATTTAAAACGGGGGATTGGCCTGCTAATTTGACAATTTTATGTAACTTATGTCATGTGATTTGACGCTATTTAGGGGTAACCTAAAGAATATAAAAAACACCAATAATTCCCTCTTTATTATTACTATTATCCCCCCAAGAGTTATTGGTTTAATAACATTTCAATTAAATCTAAGGAGAACTTGACATGTCATAATGAGTTTGATTCTCGAAAATTACAATACAATTCTTGGAGAGAATAAGAGTCAGACAAATATGCTAGAACTTCAGATGTTAATTGCTATCAAAAAAATTAATAATCTCAAATTCGAATTTATACAAATAAGAGAGTTTTGTATTGCTTGCGATATTGCCCACCTCTAATCCAACTAATCACACAATAGGTGAATCGATAAAAAAAAAATTTTAAAATTTGAAACCTAAAAAATTGATAAACATAATTATAAAAAAAAGGAAAATATTTCTACAGATGCAGATAAGTTATTTATATTTATTCTTAAAATGATGTCGTTTTGATATTGTAATTTTAAAAAATTATAAATATAAAGATTATTATAATCCTGAAATAAATTAAAATTACAAAAAATATCATGATTTTCGTCTAAAACGACGTCGTATTGAGCTTACTGCAGATAACTTATCTGCGGTAACTGCAGAAAAAACACGAACTCATACAAAAATAATTTGAAAAGTATAACATATTGATAAATAGTTTTAAGCAGAAATGTATAATTCGAGAATGAATTTTTTATGTTAAAACTTTGCTAAATGTGAAAATTTTATATTTATAGCCCTTCTCATACATGTTCACAGTTGTACTAGTATTTAATGTCTATAAAAAAACCACGGTTTAAGTAGTATATATTTAATTTCATTCGTAAGTAATATTTTTGCATTCAAATCTTAGTGAATGCAAAAAAAATTAGAGTTTAAAGAGCTAATTCAAACATCATTATTTTCTCATAATGGCATGATTATATAAAAAATTCATAATCATATAAAGATAAATTAATAGTTATAATTTAATAATTTATTTTAATATATTTTTCTGTTTATCATTATTAATATAGGGAAATATAAGAATTATGTTGCAGTAATGATACTGTTCATTTCTGCAACAAGGATCCGGCAACGTATCTTGAGGATACGGCGCTGTATCCTAATTTTGGTTTGACTTTTTTTTTTTAAGCGTGGAACCCACACTTGATTTGTGTGTGCAAAAAAATGATCTTATCATATATGACACGAAAAAAACGAATCCATTAATGTATAGTTATAATTTTCAATGTCTTTTTTAACAAGAGAGTATCACCCTTATTACCATATACATGATTAATAAAAAAATAAATTGTCTATAAAACACTTGTGATTCATCCAAGAAGCCTCGTCTTGGTTTGACACCGAAAGGAAAGAGAGAAGATTCAAAGCAAGCATGTGTTGTTAAGCATGTGTTGTTTTCATGTCTTCTGTGTCATATAATTCTGATATTGACAATACCATTGCATTGATTTAACCCAACAGAAACACGCAAACTCAGCCCATTCATCACGTTTTCTCTTCTGCAAAGAAACATCTCTTGAACAATCTTACCTTTGTGTTTGAACTTGTTTCCTCCTGGTTTTGAGGTATGTTTTTTAGTTACATGTCACTTTTTTTTTCTTCTTGTTTTTGGTTACCCTTTAATTATGGGTTTGTGTTCTGTTTTTATTTCTCTCTTGTCCTTGGGAAAGTTGCAATTTTTTTATGATTTTTTTTTTTTTTTTGGTTTTTGAGGAAGATGATAGTTGGTGTTGTGTTCTTCCTCCCGTTTAAGTTCTGGGGAATTTAGTTCAATTTCTTGTTCGAAATCTTCTTTGAGATCTAAAAAAAAGCACAAACTGAATTAGTATGAAGATGTTGTCAACCCTAAACATAGGTTGAGATGCAAAGCTTGGTGCTTAGAGCAAGAGAAGTTATAGAATAGAGTCAAAAGCATAGTTTTTATTTTAAATGATTACAGTGGTTAAGGAACAATGGAGTATAGTTCTTGCTGGGTCTCCCTTACATTTTAATTTTATAGATTTTTCAAAAACAATTTCCTTTATAGATTTTTTTTTTTTTTGACAGTCTACAATATATTGGGTAAATCAGTTGAATTTGCTTAACTTATTGAGAAAATCTGATAGTGATGTGTGAGCTTCATAGTAGATTTATTATGACTAGGCTTCATTTATTTTGCAATACATCACTTTTATGAAAGGATCCTGTTTCAATATCATTGGAATATTATTTGGCAAAACTTAAACTATGGTATCAGTTATTACTTTTGTGTGTCACATATGCTATAGAAAACCATGAATGTGCTTAGTTATGCTCTTGTGAGGCCTGAGATTCTTGCATTTTCTTTATCATTTCAATTATTTGTATGGGCGTTCCACTTGATTATTTTTCAAAACTCTTGACATTTTTTTGTGGTTGAACCAGGTGACCTTGGAAGTGGTTTCCTTTGAAGCAATTGATACCATTTGACATTAAAAGCTGCTTTCTGATACTTCATTTCATTCAATCATGACCTGTTTTCCTTTCTTATTCAGTAAAGTGTCTTCAGCAAGACAAGATCCAGACATTGATGAAGGTAACTTAATCACATGTTGTAACCAATTACAGTAGATAGTACCAAGATGGAATTGTTATAGTTCCTTAAATTTGATTAATTTTCTAGGGATGTGGTTGAATTAAGATATCTATGATATAATAATACGCTGAAAAGATCTACTTGCAATATTTGAATTTAATTGAATATACTTTGAACTGATATTTCAGGTATTCATAATGTTAGAGTCTATCCCTACAAAGAACTTAGAAATGCTACTGAGGATTTTAGTCCAGCCAAAAAAATAGGAGAGGGCGGTTTTGGTTCTGTCTATAAGGTAAACTAGACCATTTTCAAGTACTGCTTATTTCATCATTGCAATTGGCATGATCATTGTTTTTCCTTCCTTTTCTTATTAATGAGAATGAAATCTGAACTATATTATGTTGGATGATCAGGGACGACTTAAAGATGGAAAAATTGCTGCTATAAAAGTTCTTTCAGCTGAATCAAAACAAGGGGTGAGGGAATTCTTGACAGAGATTAATGTGATCGCAGAAATAGAGCATGAAAATTTGGTTAAGCTATATGGTTGTTGTGTGGAAAACAATAACAGAATATTAGTCTACAATTACCTTGAGAACAACAGCCTTGCACAAACTCTTCTAGGTAAATGCATTTTTTCTTAAATTTGGGTAACTGCCTGTGTTTTATCTGTTTATGCTTGGTATGGGAAATGGAAAGTTCTCCTATCTCTTAAAATCTATTTTCCTGGACTATTGTTGAACAACGCCTTTTGCAAAAGCTTGTGGGCCAAAGTTGAGAAGAATGTCTTACTTCATGGATTTTTTTTATAAACTAGTCTTTGACTCTCAATCTTTCTCTAATTCTTTTTTAATGAAGTTTTTTTCTTTCAACTTTCAGGTAGAGGTCACAGTAGTATCTACTTCAGTTGGCAAACACGATCTAGAATATGCATCGGTGTTGCACGTGGGCTTGCTTTTCTTCACGAAGAAGTAAGGCCTCCTATTGTTCATAGGGATATAAAAGCAAGCAATATTCTCCTTGACAAAGACCTTACGCCCAAGATTTCAGATTTTGGTCTTGCAAAGCTTATTCCATCAAACATGACTCACGTCAGCACACGTGTAGCTGGAACAATGTAAGTATTGTAATTTACAGTCTCTTCGGAATATTTTTATTTTGTTTTGTTTTTCCCCTTGAAACTGCAAAGTAGCCTTACCCTTACCAATCTCAAACTGAAAGACTTGATCCCTCTACCTCAATTTCTCAGTTTTGAATTCAAGATCTTTGTCTTATACATGGAAGTTAACACTACTGGAGTATGTTCTAACTGGTCAGAATTACATGCTATATTATACTAGAAAATTATAATCCAGTTGACAAGATTCAATTATCATGTCAATTTATGTCATTCAAGTTTAGATTCATATTTTCTCATGGCATCAGTTACCACGCTGTTTTTATGGTGACGTAAGAGTTGTGCCAATGCTGTGCACGAATTTGTTGTCCAAAAACTGCAATGCAACTTAATCTGGCTGGTTCAAAATTTGTATATATTTCAACTAAATCCCTAAGGTCATTGAAAGTGCTGATAAACTGCTCTTATATTTGCTTCTGGATGTTATTATATATGATTTCCATTTACACTGTCACCTTTCCCTCCTTACTTGAGAAAGAGGAAAGCTTCTCTTTTCCTGTTTATATATGCATATAATCTTTTTAATCAATTATTTTATATCAGAAATTTACTGATGCATGGTCTATTTTAGAGGTTATTTGGCACCGGAGTATGCAATAGGGGGGAAGCTGACACGGAAAGCAGACATTTACAGTTTTGGTGTCCTCCTTATGGAGATAGTCAGTGGCAGATGTAACACAAATTCACAATTACCAATAGGAGAGCAATATCTTCTAGAGAAAGTATGAATGTCTCATATTTTCTCAATCTTATTTGCATTTCTTTTACTGGCATAAATTCTTACTACCCCTTTGTTTCTTCAATCATCATCTATTTTAACTAGAATTTCCCATTTTCATTTGTTATTTACTTACTGGAAGTGCCCAGTATTAAAACATGTGTGATCATCTCTGAAAAAATTTAACTCCCATTTTGGTTTGAACTGCTAGTAAATACAGTGTCACATTCATATGCAAAAGCATATGACAAGCCAAACCACCATTCGTAATTTATTTTTTCCCTTAAAGTATAAATCGAAACTATATCAGAATTATGCTTTAAATTAAAATGGAAAATATTGAATCTTTATAAAACATCTATTGTCAGTCTACTAGTTTATATTGTGCTAGGGGTATGCATGATTTGGTTCGGTTATGGTAAACCAAACCAGTTTTAAAAAGTGGTTTGGTTCTTAAACCAATTTAGAGAAAATGGTTCCGGTTTGGAAAAATATGGTACGGTTTGGTTTGGTTCGCGATTCAGTTCTGTTCATTTGGTTTTTCACACTTCTAAGAGAGAGTATGGTTCGGTTCAGTTTTATCCCTATCCGAACCAAATTGGTACCGTGGTTCAGTTGCTGTTTTGAAAAAAAAATCCCGTCTTGAACCAGTTCGAAGAAAAATAGTTCTATTCTGTTCTTGAATCGGTTCAAAAAAATGTGGTTCTTTAGGTGCAATTTGGATTGGTTCGCTATTCAGTTCGGTTTGATTTGGGTTTTTTGCACACGCTATGCCAAGTAAACTCATTGGTGATTCTCATAGTAATGTGTTAGGAAACCACCTAAACTAAGGTGTATGTGAGGAAGGAGCGCAGAGGATCCAGGTCTCTCAGGAGGGAATGGTTAATGTAACAAATTGTATGAGAGGCAATCAAGGGGAATTGAGAGGGAATGTTTGACTTGCATGTATACAAAAAGGAGAGGGGAGAAGAGAGGGGTAAGGAAAAAAGTGGAGAAGAGTGAGGGAGATTGCAAGGCCTCTTGAATATCTTTTTTTACATATTTTTTGTTTCAGATATTTGACTTTTTATAAATCCACAACACAGGTACTGATATCAGTATATGCTGAAGAATAATAGAGTAGATTCACCCATACTTGTGAATAGCCCTGCTTTAGCGCGCTATAGCGGATTTGCGTTGCGGTGCAGTGGCTGGCCGCCACAGACTGTACCGCTACGGTCAGGCGAAGAGTAGCGGATGTAACGGCCGCTATTGCGGCTGAATCGTGGCGCTATTTCGCCGCTACAGTAGTTTCTGCAAAAATGTTCTCATCGTAGAAGGAAGATATTTACAACTTAGATACAAGTGAAAGTAAAGATGAAGATTTGGATGTTCATGATTTCAATTATGATTAGTTCCTTAAATTTTTTTATTTTGATATTTCACTTAAGTGGTAGTTTGAATTTTGACTAATCTTGCCACTTTATTTTATTGTGTTACATTATTTGATATTTTAATTCCTTCAATTTGTTTATGATTTGAATTTTAATGTTTGAAATCATTTATGTTTTAGTTTGAGATCCTTCAAATTTGTTTTTTATGTCACATTTTCATATTTTAAGTTTTATATTTGTGGAGTACAATTTAGTGTATTACTTAGATACACTTTGCACAGTAGCGTTGTAGCGCTACCCGTTATAGCGCTATAGCAGTTTGGAGGGTCAGCCGCTACGCGCCGCTATCCGAGATTAATAAGTATGGATTCACCATAACTAAGTGTGTTTTGCCCCAGTTTCTATCAGAATGTTAAAGGACTCTGTCTGTTCCCCCTTTCTATGGAAGAAAGTCTTTCTCATGAGTTATTCATAATCTTGAATTGCTAACTTCACATTTTTTTTTCCTAGTCTTTGGCATTTTGTTGCAAAAGTGTGGTCATATTCTAAAGCATTATATGAGATTTCTGGACCTTCTCTTATTTTTGCTTCTGTTTTTACAGACATGGGAACTTTATCAGAGGAAGGAATTGGTATGGCTGGTAGATATATCACTAAACGGAGAATTTGATGCTGAGCAGGCTTGTAAATTTCTGAAGATTGGCCTTCTTTGCACTCAAGAATCTCCGAAGCTCCGGCCATCCATGTCTTCCGTGGTGAAGATGCTTACCGGAGAAATGGATGTTGATGACAGCAAGATTACAGAACCTGCCTTAATTTCTGATTTTATGGATCTCAAAGTTAAAAGGAAAAATGAAAGTGATAATGATATGAAAACATCTTTACATAATACATCTTCTGCCTCAGGCAACCATGATACTACCATGTCATCAGCTGCTTCAACTGCTGCAACTACAACCTTCACTGTATGATCTAAGCATGTAAACTTACAATTCACAATGCTTTGTTCTTTATTTTCATTTTCTTAGGCTTGTATTTCATGTAAATTTTTCAACCTTTCTATACTGTCAGTTTAACTTTTTTGTTTTAGAGAGAGAGAGAGAGAGAGAGAAAAAAAGAAGGGGGGGGGGGGGGGGGGGGGGGTGTTTAGGAGGTTGCTAAATATGCTGTCCTGTAAATATGAACCCATGTTGTATTCAGATATAAATTTTGAAGATCTTTTCCTTTTTTTGTAGGGTTTAATATCTTTCATGTTGTAAGTAATAATTTATCTTTTACATACATATAAAAGTGTGTGGGGTTTATTTTATTTTATTTTTCCCTCCTTTTCGCATGGCCCCATATGAGCTCTACAAACTTTTATGTGTGTATAGGAAATAATTTTATTTCCTACCATATGAAAAACATCAAACCGTCTGTTGTATCTTTTCTTATCTCTCTCTTGTTATTTAATGTCTTTCTCAAAAATACCCTTGTAAAACTACACCAAAAGTAAAGAAAGGCCCTTGTAAACGCATATACACTTAAGCTTATAGACACACCACATAGTTTATAATATGTCATTTATTTGTCTAGAACATGGAGTTGAGATTTAAGGAATCATGTTGACAATCCATTTCCTATGCCTTGGGCCCTTGGTCTTTGTACGATTTCATGTGGGAGATGTTGTGGGAGGCTGGGAGCAATGGTGTCTCGAGTTCTTGCAGTTCTAGTTTAAGAAAGAATTCCTTATCTTAGTGATAAATATCAAACCCCCAAGCACAAACACAAACACAAACAAGGGGTGTGAATAGCCCAAACAGCCTACGACCTAGGTTCGATTTGGTCTAATTTTGTGGGAGCAATGGTGTCTCGAGTTCTTCCAATTCTAGTTTAAGAAAGAAATCCTTATCTTAGTGATAAATTTCAAACCCCCAAGCACAAGCACAAGCACAAACAAGGGGTGTGAATAGCTCAATCAGCCTACCACCTAGCTTATATTTAGGTTAATAAAATTAATTGAAACCTTAAAAAAAATCTATTAAGAAAACAAGTCATGGGCCGATTTTTACAAGGCATAAATTATAAATCAAAAGGATGATTTATATCATATTATTTATTTTAAAAAAATAAAATAAAATAAAATAGTTATTTAAATAATTTTAAATAATAATCTTTATTTTTATTTTAATTCTTGATAAATCTCAAAGTCTAATTGGCTTAAATAAGCTAATAGATTTATGTTAGACCTTTTATTTTTAAACATAGATCATATAAGACCTATAATTAACTTACACTAGTCTAATTAGACAGTCCAGGTTTAAAATATTTATATAGACATAACATATTTATGTCAAAATATAGTCTAGCCCAATTCATTTATGTCCCTTTTATAATTGAACTATGCTAGGGAGAATATGGAACCTTGTATATGCAATTGTAGGATGAACTTGTCGTCAACTTTTTTTTTTTTTGTCAGCAAGGGGTGCTAAACGAGCTCGGGGCCTTTGACTCGGCTCGTGAAGGCCTGAGCTTATATGTCTAAAATTGATTGTTGTAACCAGGTTTGGACTTATATAAAAACTTGTTTAATAAAAAGGTCTCAGGCTCCAATTCAAAAGCTCGGCCTTAGAGCCTCTCAGGCTGACCTAATATTTTTATTTTTATTTTTATTTTATATTTTTTATACTACTTGTGATAGCCATCTCTCTCTTCTCAATCCATTTCATTCCATTTTATTAATTAAACAGACTTTTTGAATGATTTTGTTTTATATTATGATGCTTGGATATACTTAAATTTATGAATATTTATGAAATTACTAGTGCTGTTGATTGTATATTTTGTTTGGATAAATTTTTATTGTCTTATTTTTTTTAAACAGGCTAACAGTATAAACCAGGCTTTTATTTTTTTATAAATAAGACAAGCCATAGGCTGAAGTTATATTCATAACAGGTAACAGGCTTGGTCAAGCTGACACATTTAAATACAGGCTTAGCCTTTTAAGACCAAAGTTCGGCTCGACTCGGCCCGTTAACACCTCTAGTCAGCATGTAACAGTTGGTGATTAAACTTATTGCATGTCTTGAACAGATTTGTTTAAAATGTTTTAGGACCATCAATAATTGATTGATCTTTTTTCCAAAATAGAAAAAAATAATTTTATTTAAATCTTTTTCTTTTTTTAAAAATTTCCTCTCAATTCCTTACCTTTTCTATTTTTGGCGAGGGACCATAGTGCACCAGACCCATAAAAAATGCGCTCATCTTGTACAAAGGATCATTTTTCTGACAAGGGTGACTCATTCCCCAATAAATTCTATTTGCCAAGGACTAGACGCTGGTTTTAGGATTTAAAAGTTAAAAGAGTTTTTAAGAGGTATTTGGTAGGAAATAAATTTTTTTGTTCTTGAAAATTATAATTTTCAGGAATATACTAAGAAAGTGAATTTTACAGAAATGTGACCAAAATATTATTGAAAATATTGGTTCAAATTTACTGATTCTATATTTATCTGATTATCAAATGTTATTAGAAGTGTGGAGTGATTTTTTTTAAAAAAAAAGAAAAAACCCCACCGCCAGTCTTTTATTCAAGCATGATTTACATGGCTGTTCCTTGGGTTTTCTCCAGAGATATTTGTTCCTGAGATTTTCTTCACCCACCTTCGTTTAAACACGAATTTCCTTGGCACGTTTGTTGGGCTGGGAGATGTGGAGAGGCTTCAGAAATATCTTTTCGATAATAATCGTGGGAGAGCTGAATATGAGAAAGTAAAAATCCGAAGGTATCAAAAGCTGCAACATCACAAAGAGAGATCTGGGATATGAAGTGGAGAATATTCTATATGGGTATATGGGAATTGCAGATGACTTGTACAAACTAGATTTAAATAACAAGAAATGGAGCATGGTAAAGAGAAGATTGAGAACCTTGATAATGCTCATGTTAAAACTGATGAGAGACCATAATTGAAGAAATTTTTTGTCAATTTTTTCATGTCACGGGAATCCAAGAATATCACCGGGATGGTATTCTTGGATAATATTTTTCTTTACAAAAAATTTCAGGATTCTTATACCAAATGTGAGTAAATCGAGAATCTAAAAAATATCCCTCTTCACCGCTAAACAATTGTTTGGTAAAGTTTTTTGAGGCAATCAATGTAGAAAATAAATAATGTGACTACCAGAGTAAGAAGTTTCATATCAAATATTAGTAAGATAAGAGAAATATAGCTCAATATCACAAAGATTCCCACCTGTATGACTTGCTGAACTTTATTAAGCAGGTGCCTCCTAAGTTGGGTCTTCAGAGCCTATAATGAAATTAAAGATGTTATGCCTGCAACCAGCACCATTTAACTTAAGGGTTTTATAAAAGTTATGTTGCAGGAAAAGTGATTGTGTTATGTTATAAAGATTTATTTTGCGTGCCGAAGTTTTTTTTTTTTTGCTGCGAGTCTCACAAAATGTTGTGTGTGTAGAAAAATTTTTGTGGTCATGTTAAATAATAGATGATAAACCCTTTAACTTAATATGTGTTGTTTTTGTTTCTAGTTCTTTTGTTTTGAGTATTAAATTATCAAAAATGATACTTGTACAAACAAAACCATATTAAAGTCCACATTAAAATCTATAAGGATAAAGTCTATGCAAGTTATTGGATAAAACATGTACCTCTATGCAAGTTATTAGAATATGTAAAGATAAGATTACCAAAAAAAAAGAATATATAAAGATAAAGTTTGTATAAGAAGCATTACTCTTACATTATATATGGAGTGAAAAAGAGAACAGACAAAACTGATGATGCTTCCTAGTTTGGTTTTCATATTGTTGAATTAAACTGCATCGCCAAAACTACAAGTTAAAAAAAGGTTATGGTGTGAGGGATGAGAAATCTTTTCTTTATGGTCACATGGGTGACAAGGACTATTTTGTTAGGTTTCAAGGAGAGGATACTGACAAACACCACGAGAATAAATTCCTCCACCTATTCGGGGATGAAGTTACAACCAGTGTCTTTAATGTTGACATCAACCGGTGTACAAATAAAATCCATTGAATTTTTAGAAATTATTGATCAAAATTAGGGTTGTGGTTCACTTCAGTTCAAATTTTTTATGCCGAACTAAGTCAAAGTGGTAAAACAGTTTGGTTTGTGAATTGAATCCATTTAGAAAAAATGGTTTGCTTCTTAAACTACGGGCAGGTTATATTTACAAACTTTTTTGTTTACAAACTCTTACAAACTACACTATGTAGGACCGGTCCTACATTAATCACACAGTGTACGACCGGTCCTACATTAGTGTAATTGCAAAAAAAGTTTGTAAACGAATCTTGTCCCTTAAACTAATTTAAAAATATATATAATTATTTATGATTCGATTTATGTGATTTTTTTATGAGATTTATACATCGTATGCACTGTTGTAAAACCTGGCTCGACCCAGTCGGGTCGACTCGGAACCTTACGAACCGGTTATCGGGCCGATTATGGGTGAAGCATTGATCCGGTCAAAATTCAGACAAAACTGATCAAAATTGGTGACCCGGTGATCCGGTCGGTCATGCATTTAAAAAACAAAAAACCAAAACTGTTTCATCTTATGAGAAAAAAAGTAGAACTCATTTTAAAAACTTTTTGTAATTTTTTTTTTTTGGTAGACAATTTTATTTGCTAGTATGCTCTTCTATAATGACCTCAAATTTCAGTTTCCAATACTGAAACAATTTGCGGAATAATAAATTAAGAGAATGTGATATATGTCATTTTAATGTAATTGAATTTGAAAAATATGAGTTCAATGTCATTGAGAGGTATGTTTATGGGAATTCTGAATTATAATTTAAATTGACATAGTAATAGCGTGCATTTTTATTTATTTATGCTTCATGTTTTTTAGTTTATTTAGTGAACCTTGTTTAATTTATTTTAGATATAGAGAATATAATTGAATTTATATGTTCGTATTTTTATATATTTTTATATATCTATATATATATCTGGGTCAACTGGTCCACCCAATGACCCACCAGTCCGACCAGTGACTCAATACCCCGACTGGGTCGATGCTCGGATCAGATTTAACAACACTGGTCTTATCTAATATAAGAAGAGCCTTTTCAC